GAATTATCGCGGAGTTGACAAAATTTGTTTGAAAGGACAATTTTGCGACAATGTCGATCGGCTATGTTGTCTCGTTTGCCTTTTTTGCAGTGGTTTGCTATTGAAAGTTGACTTATGCTCTTTTAAAATATTGCGATTACCGATTGGGCTGCATTTTCAAAGCGTCGTTTTTAGATTAAATGGGCTAAATTTAGAAACTATGAAACAATGATAATAAGTAAGCATATAGAGAAGTACTATATGGACTGTGATTAGAATATATAGAAGTAATAAAGGATTTCATATAGATGGCAATTTTATATACATTTTATAATTTAATGCCATTAATAGTGCATAATATGAAAAAAATATAAATATTATTTTAACTCGCTAATAGGTCATGTTGCCAATTCTCCTTTCTGAAGGGAACATCAGACAAATTCTTCAATTTCTGATTTTTGGCATCGTCGTGAGAAGGCAGCTTGTGGGCAAAATACAAATGCGAGGGGAATGGTAGGATCAGTTGTAAAATTGAAACTTCTTCAATTTCATTCATTTTTATTTTCGCGCATTTGCGGTAGGAATTCTATATGAAAACCAAATGTGGTTTACCAGGCGCACAGAAAAAATAAAAAGAGTATATTCATTTACGTTCTCTGAGATTACCCCCTCTTCATATAAACATAGGTCTAATAAAACAGTTTGAGGAATTTTTTAAATATATCAGTAAAATGTTTTCGAAATTGAGCACAGAAAAAATTAAAGTTGGTTTTTTGACGGTCCGCAAATCAGGGAACTAATAAAGGACCAACATTGTACTGATTGTATGGCAGATAAGGAGAAATCTACATGCAATGAATTTATTGGGGCTGTGCAAAAATTCCTTAGAAAATAAAAAGTCCTTAGTCTTCAATCAACATATTGAGCAGGTCATGTTATACTTCCAGAGACTATGATGTAACATGAGCATCAAAATGCACTTTCTCTTCTGCTATTTAGACCGCTTCCCTGAAAATTTAGGCGACTTAAGCGCATACAAGGATAACGCTGTTATCAGAATATTCGCACTATGGAAGAGCGGTACCAGGGTCGTTGGAATGCAAATATGATGGCTGATTACTGTTGTGGCATGCAAGACAAGACTTATGTTTCTACTCATGCGAGAAAAGCACATAAAAGAAAGTTTTTTAATGTTAAGTAAGAGCAATATATTTTTTGTTTCTAAAATTGTAGTATTTCATATATCGAAAAGTAGAGCTGCTCGAGATTTGGAATCAGCGTGGCAAAATCATGAAAAATCGTGTAAGAAACTTCATGAAACAAAACTACTGTTTCCCAGTGTTATTATCGAAAGGCTACACGAAACCTTAATTAGGGTCATAGGCGGGGCCATAAGCTTATTTTTAACGTTTTCATCTTTTCAAATAAATGTTTCCTATGATTTTAGAAAAAAGGTGAATTTGACTGTTTTTTAAGTAATAAAATGAAGCACAATGAACCTGCATCTATAGTAAAAATATTTTTTTTTGGTTTTGGGATTTTAATAATTTTTAGGTGAAAAATTTTCCTCACTTTTTTAACTTACCTCTTCAAAAAAAAAATAAATAAAAAAACGCTTTTACCTCACTTGCAAGTGGTTATAACCCTAATTCAAAATGGAATGCACTATGGAGTGGTAATGCTTTCCAACTGCGAAATAAAAGTCACATTTTATGTTTTTTCTGTTGTTTGCATACATTTCTTTCTCATTTTTATTAACTTTAATATCGCTGCATTTCTGGCTTAGGACTAGAATTTGGTTTAACGACATTCACTTCGATATGATTTTTCGTGTGTTTGCTTATATGTCTGTGTGTATGTGTGTGTTTGTAAGTGTAGTTGTGTATTTCATTTACAATTTACCGTTAATGCAGTGTATTTTGTAATCATGAAATTCTAAACGATTTGCTCTTCATTAATTTTTCTCTTGCTTGCTTTCAAAATACAATTTCTTCTTTTGCAGATTTTTTATTGTGACTATTAAATGTAAAATTGTTTCATTCACTTTACGCTTACAGTATTTAGTTTAGCATTAATTCTTATATAATTCTCTTGTTTTTTGTTTTTGTTTGCTTTACTTCAATTATTGGTTTTTATTGCTAATGTTTGCTCTGCTTTTATAATTACTAATATTCTTCTACTTCTCTCATTTAGTTACAAAAACGAAAATGCCATAATTAAATGCAAATGTTTACTAACTAAGCATTGCCTTCGCGCAAAGTCACATTTTAATCGACTTTGGAATCGTTAATTGTATTTATTAAAATTTAATAGTATTATTATGTAATAACAGACACTGCACATGTTTTATTTTTATTCATTTTCAGTTGTTTTTGTGTTTGTTTTTGCTCTCATAATTACAATTACCAAATTACTTACATACATATATTATATATTATATTTTTATGCATACGTTTTGTTTTATTTTATATATGTTTATGCTACATGCGTAGTTCTACGTGTTGATAATATCATTATAATTAGTATTAATGCTACAAAACTTATTTTTAAAAATTCACGTATAAAAAATTTCCTTTACATACATACATATGTATTTCAACTCGCACGAGTTTTATTGGTTTGCAGGTTTGCTTCTTCTCATGTTTTTGCCATTTTTTTATTGCTACACAAATCTGAATTTACTTCTATTCGTTTTGTCTCTGTGTGTATGCGTGTGTATATATGAGTATGTTGCCTGCATTTGAAAATATAAATATTTTTTATCGGACTTTAAAATAATTGTATTTCTTTTCAATTTTTGATAATGTAATTTTCGATATGCTGTGTTGGCTGCAGCTGCGTGCATGGAAGTTGTTTTAGATGCGTACGTGTGTGTGTGTCAATGTGTGTATGCAGGTATATAAAATTGTCTTTGTTGTTTTTGGTTAATTTTTCGCAACAAATGTAGCTGCGTATTAATTGATATATTTTATATTTGGCAAAAATATACTCGTATAGCAAATAGCAAAAAATGTCTGTGTTCATGAAATGTTGCAACAACAATTTTGTTGATTGGTTTTTATTGCAAATCGCTGACCAAATCTATGCAAATATTCTTTAACAAATTCATAAATAAACGGCTGTATTTGTATTTGTTATTACATTATATTTTTTCTGCTTGGCAAATCCTGTCATATTTACATTTACATATCTATGAGAGTATTTTATAAATCAATAAAAAGGAATATTAATAAAAATATATAAAAATTCAAATATACACATGTATATGTAAATAGTTTCGTAATGTTTTAAAATAAATAAATGTCAAATATTGATTTTTATCTCTTTTATCTTTTTTTGCAGGTGTTAAACTGTTAGTTAAAACTTTTGTTGCAGCAAAAATATAAACAAATAAACATATAGTGCCAATTTTATGCATTCTATAATAGTGTTTTTTATTGAAATTTCAATTTTATTGTAAAATAAAAAATATTTTCTCATATATTTTATGTAAAAAAAATTAAAAAAAATATTTGTAGGATGAAAAAATAAAATAAATATACATATGAATGATACAAAAAAATTTGTATTGTATAATGAGAAAATATTTTATTTAAAAAAAAAGTAGAATAACAATTTTTTTTTTAATGAAATAAATTTTTAATGGAAAAGTAAATTTGTAGAAAGCAAAAAAATTTTTTTAATGAAAAACATACATTTACGAGGTTTGTAAAACAAAAAATATTTTTTAATGAAAAAAAATAATTATTATATAAAAGAAATTTTTGTAATATGAAAAAAATATTTATAATATAATATAAATAAATAACTTTTTGAATAAAAAAAAATGTTGCACTTGGAAACATTTTTTTTTAATGAAATCCTTTTCTTTTTAATGAAAAAAAAAATTTGTAGAATGAAAAAAAAAAATTGTAGAATGCAAAAATTTTTTTTTGTTTCTTTGAATGAAAAAAAATTTGTTTGCAAAAGATTTAATTCCACACTAATGATAAGTTCCAAATAAAGTTTAAGTAGTATGCAAAATCTAGTTGTTATCAATAATTCTAATTGTTTTAATTTTAATTATTATTGTATTTTAAACACAGTATACGTAAACATAAAAAAGTCAAAAATTTGTTAAAAAATAAATAAATTTATTTAGAACCATATTTTTTAGGTTTTTAATACCTGTAGTAGTGTGTAGTTATTAATAACAACAATGGCATTTATTTATAGCATTAAACGAAAAAAAGTAGGAAGAAAAAGAGCTTTTAAATGTGAGCTTAAATCGTAAAATGCCATTAAAGCTTTTGAATTATGAAAAATTTGAAGTACTTAGTTCGAAAAATAGTTCTACAGCTGATTTTGAGAATTTTGCGACAAAAGTTTCTTTATTTCTTTTGTAGATTTCTGCGTGTTTTTATGTAATTGGTTCATTTTTCGTTTTTTCTGCTAGTCTGTTAGTTTCTCTGCTCTGCTCGCTTACACTGCATTACATAATTATTATATAATATGTATGACTATATTTTTCTTAAACTGCTATATAATATTTCTGAATTTTATAAATACAAAACAATAAAAACTATTGAAATATTTACAATTTCACACATACCACAACTCTATGCGTGTATGTATGTGTGTGTATGCACTAAGAGACATTAAAAATCTATGATTCGAAAATTACAATTACAATTTCAGTTTTCGTTTACACTTACATGACTAAAGTAGTTACATAGAAGAGAAAATAAATATAATAACCAGCAGTATGATGTTTTAACTCTATGTATGAATGTATGTATGTATGTAACTACATGAATACGTTTGTATGTGTTTATAGTACATGCAATGACGTAATCTCACACACATAGATGGGCTTATACATATATAAATATATATATGTTTGTATGTGTGCAATTAGTTGCTAGCGGTACCAATCAACTTTAAATACGATATAAATTTTCACAATTTCTTGTTAACAGAAATAAATTTCGTAATTTACTTAATAATTAGATGAAATGCTTTTTCGTAGTGTTGTTGAAATAAAAATGAATCATATACTCGTTTGTAAGTAGTTAGTGATTTGGCTTTCGATCTTTACAATTTTTAAAATTCAAATTTAGTTGCTCGATTTGCTTTCACATTTTCACTGGTTGCGTTGGTGATGGTGTTGTAAATGTTGTCGCCGCAACCGCTGCGCCTTTCGGGCGCGCTGCTTCGACGTATGTGTGCGTGAGTCAATTTTTCAAGTTAGCACCTCTTGCAGATGACGCGCGTATGCCTCCGCCGTATGGAATTCGGGTTCGCTGAAATAATAGAGTGATGTGAGTTTTTCGTTGAAAGATTTAGATGTATAATTATTAAAAATTTTATAATTTAAGAGCAGACATAACATTCGTTTCTATAAATATATTTTGTATTTATTCAAATTTATACTCACATTCATATAAAACTCAAATATATATTTTATTTATATTCATATACATGTTCACACTCACACTCATACACATATTCAAGTTATACTCACACTTATACTCATACTCACACCCTTACTTATACTCGTATTTATACTTATACATATATTAATTTTGAAATTCAAATTCATATTCATATTTATATTTATATTCATTTTCATTTTTAAATTTTTTATTCTAACTAGAGTACGCGAAAAGACTTAGCTTCCGCAAAGAGTTCATTAAATTTATACCCTGCATATGGTACATTAAGTTTGCCACGATATTTTTAACGCCCAGGAAAGGTCGGAGACCCTATGTAGTATATATGTATATAAATGATCAGCATGACGAGAAGAATCGATTTAGTCGCGCCAGTCTGTTTATCTGTCTGTCTGTATATACGAGAACTACCATAGAGACCTACCGCGCACGCCCTTTTCATTCCAAGAAGCTGCTCATTTGTCGGAACTGTCGACAACTATAGCATAGAACTGCCATTTAAACTGACTGATCAAAAACAAAAAGTGCTTGTATGGAAAACTTTTTTATTTGTCAAGATATCATCAAGAAATTTGGCATATATTATTGTGTAAGGCAACGGTATAATCTCCGAATAAATTGATCGGATTGGATTACTATAGTATATAGCTGCCATACAAATTGACCGATCAGAATAAATTTTTTGACAATTTTGTTTGTGTAGGCTATTATAGCATCGATGCAACCGAAGTTAGCGGTTTTTTGGTTCCATAATTGTTTATTTTAATTGACATGTTAACGATTTGAAATTTTAAGCGCTTGAACGGATATCCGAATTCTAGTCATTTATATTTTCACATTTGTTAGTTGTTTTCGACACAAAGGAATATGGCACAATTAAAGGGATATATGTATATAAATACATATGTATTTATATAGTAGGTGCATATGTATTCATATACCAATTTATATGTGCGGGAGTATCTTTCATTTTCAAACCTATACGAATTAATATATTCCTCTAGCGAATTGCATTCACTCTTTCATAAACATGGTATATTCAATGTGCATATATATGTATGTCATTTGTAATTGTGAAATATGCGCACATACATACATGCAAATGTAAGCATTGTTCTACCGATAGCTGTTCGAATGAGCGCGAATTCAAATATTTCCAATTCATTACGAGTCAAACACACAACAATACGCATGCACTGTAATCAAAGATCATCATCAGGCATAGCTATATACCGACACACACATAGTTGTATACGTAGTAAGTGCAAATTCTATACATTTGCCTTCACCCATGGGCCGTATGTGTATGTATGTTGCGCTGATTGTATGCTATTGTCATTTTGGTGATTTCGCTGCGTTAATCCCCAAACGCAATTTCGTTTTACACACTCCCAATGGTGTAGCAACTACAGCGCTAACAATACACATATGTGCTTATACCTACACGCATATATATACTCATACGTGCGCTCAAAAGCATTTAAGCATTAACGAAGGTGTGTGGGTGTGGACGTTGCTTACCTGTCGCTGAGATCGCGCTTTCGCCTTCTGTCCTGCGACAACGCCTCCACGCAGAGCACAATTAATTTGCTATCGCAAGTTTGTCGCTCCTGGTCGAGCAGTTTGTTCCCCAGCAAATTGCTTGCATAACCGAATTTATCTATGGAACTCGAATGCCAAGCGTCGCAATATGTGTCAATGGAACGCTCACCGTTGGGTAGTGAACCGTGCCAAACGTGCTTTTGTGGCCTGTTAATGAAAAAAACGCATTACGAAAAGTTAAAGTGAAAGGAATTAAATATTTATGCAATAACTGGGACGTGCGCAAGTGGGCATGTATTAGTAAAATTATATTTTGGTGAAATTGAAAATAAATTAGACTCCACTAGACAATAATATTAACTCTGTAAATTTATACATCTTTCTGAATATAATTTAATATAACGGTGCGATCAAATATACATTTTACTGTATTCAGTTTTGTATTTAAAGGCCAGGGTCTATTTCCGTTGAAGGTAAAGTCTCCTTTTCAAACGCAGAATTTGTTTCTTCATTATATCTTTTGGTATTTGTGCATGATTCACAACTAACTGTCAGTCTTATTATTTCGTACGAACTCATCTGTATAAAAACCATGTCCTGTGCGAACACTTCTTGAAAATGGAATAAACCTTTATGTACAAGTCCATACATCGTGAGTCCACAATAAATCTGCTAAGACGATTGATTTCGGCACCATATAGTTGCCCAGTTTTCCTTAAGAAGTGAAGTGTTTTGACCATTATCTCATCAAAGCGCGATGATACAGAAGGGAATGGGTATCAAGTTTAATAAGTCAGAAACTCGAAATTAGAAAATCTAATTTTTGGAGCATTTGAAGCTCACCCTATGCCAAAAAACATTTCCACGGCTGAAAACAGGAGATTGCCCAACGTCCAACTTATTCAGTAACCTGCCGCCTTAGCATCGTCGTGTAATTTTTTTTTGAGAGAGTTTGTTTTCTAACAAAGTTTAACATGTAGAGAAAATAAAAAAGCAAGTTAGCATCTTTTAGTGGGGTTTTTCTTGCATTTTCTGAGAAAACTTACCACAGTACATAATGTATACATTTTATGAAAAATAAATGACTTAAGTCAAAAAATTACAGTTTGGGACATAAAAAGGCTAGTTTAACCCAAAGTTCGTGCAAAATAATTTTTTTTGTACTAAAAGCTAAAATAAAACACCAAAAATTTTATAATTCTAATTTTTCACATACATTTTGAGATTATGCGAAAAATATGTGAATAAACCAGTTGTTGATCTTTTCATTGCCTACAACTTTTCCATATGACTTTTTTCCACAAGACTCGTAGTTTTGTCGGAAATCAAGATAAATTCGAGATCGAGATATTTTTCACCCACTCCTCTTCTATTTTCCGACTTCACACTGACCAGTCCGAATCACATTTGATCAGATAGTATTATATTGACGCCCAAAACTATACTTTAATAAACATTTTTAGTAATTTTCTTTTTGAGCTCAAATAAATATTGATCAGAATCATACATGTTATACTTATATACATTTCCTCTTAGTCAATTACAACTTAGAAATTGTAAATAATTCAATTATGTAATTTCGAAGGTAACATACTCTACGGCTTATAACTACTCTGCCTAAAATATTTATATGCGTTTACATGTATTTAGAGTGAATGATAAGCTTAAGTTGGGCAAAATTGACAAAATGAGTATGTTTGCTTCGCCACTTGGTTACTCGGGCATCAAGATATTACTTTAATGAATTTACACGAGCTCACACAAACGTATACTCATACACTCATATGTATATACATACATACCTACACACATATTCATTTGCGTTGTATCTATAAGGCAGTTTGTAACTGTGCATTTGCGCCTCTAATAAATAATGCAAAATGTTGAATGCCATATATTAATAATATGTTTATGGCTTTCACGGATAACTGTACGTATATATTCAGATATATATACTTTCGTGATATGAAATGGAACTTGAACGTACACCATATTAAGTCACTAGCATATAAGCTAATATGAAGGTTTAATGGGAGGTTCATATCGTTATAGAGATATGTGTTTGCTTGTATGTGTGGATGTATTCAAGATGTTTACAGTTCAATGAAATTATTAACTCAGACAACCGCATGTACCTATATTGCAAAAGATATCTCTTTCCTTTATGGTGCGGTAGTGTACCTCAATAGTATCTGGATAAATTATTCCGGGATTTTGTGATATTTAAATATCTACAAGTTCTGTAAACAACCCATGTGACTGACAAAGCATGTGACCTTTGATGCTGCAAGTGCTTTGTGTAGAATTCTGCCTTAGTGTTTGTGAGCGCAATAATGTGTGTGAGTGTATGTTGCTGCTGAGGCACATGTTCAGCGTGCAGAGACCAGTGTCACCCAGGTCATTAAGATATTTTGATAACATTGCGTCTTGTAATTGAAAATACATACATACATATACAATTAATGTACGTCTATGTACTAATAGTAGTAATGCTTAGTTACTTACTAGTCAGTCTACTTGTAAAGGGTGTCTCTAGAGGACGGATTGTTCGCAGAAAGAGGCAGTAAGACGATCTGCTAATTCCTGTAACTGATCATATTGTCTTGTCTGCCATAGGCGACTTGTGCTAATGGAAGACCCTTTTATGTCCCGTTAGTTTTCTCATGAATGCTTATATTCAAGCACTACTAAATTTTCCAATTCGTCTCGACGTTGGTAAATGATACTTCAAAAGCTACCGCAAGCTTTTGTAATGATTTCAATGATTTTGTAGAGCTGCTTCATGCACTTGTGTACCCAAGTATTAAAGTATATACCAAAGCTACCAGTAGTTATAATTATTTTGGCCACAATGATGCTATGTGGTATTTATGGCTGAAATGCATTGTATTATGTACTTTTAGGTTATGGTGAATTAATGAAATTTCGAGATGCACTCAAGCATTGACTTACAATGGCTACACTCTGAAATTCTCAATTAAAATTACACCATATCTTGACCATTGTTGAAAAACAAATCCTTCACCAAGTGTGTTTACCAATGCAAGGAAGGTCTACCTCCTACTTTGCTACCATCCTTTGGTACTGCATTTTTTCTCTTTATAGAGTTTGAACCCATTATAGCGGATTAATCACTTAATCTAAATTAATTAGTATTATAGGAAAAATCCATTATTTTTCTAATAGATACTTATCGTAATCAGTATCTCACGTTGCACAAGTGCACAAAATGGCGTTAGAAAGATAAGATTTCGAACTAAGAAACTTTTCATACAATTTTGTGCAACAATACTAAATGTTTGAGCATGCATCAAATCTGGACCATGGTTCTAATACTGGTACACCATAAAAAACCGTTAAGAACCATTAAAGTATGGCTGCGTACCAAAAGAAGTTCTATGTATGGGTACTATTGGAGATAACACAAGAGACCCATATCCAAATCTCTACGAAAATCGCAGCAAAGTCGACCAATTTCTGAAGCGAATAGTTACTGGTGATGTAAAGTGGGTCACTCACTTACAACGTTAAACGCAAAAGGTCGTAGTCGAATGGCGGCTCGCCGTCGTCTGAAAGGTTTTGCTACGTGTTTTGAGGGATTGGCCGGAAATCATCTACTATGAGCTACTTTTCCCCAGCCAAACTTCTAATTCGGACCTATACTATCAACAATTGATCTTAAAGTTCGTACCTAGCACCAAATGATTAGCACCTGTTTCTGTCTATGGCTAATGATTTGGCTTTGGAAAAAAATTCGCCTCAAGAGAAGCTTGTGAAAATCGGTTGTCCCTTTTTTTTTCCATAGGAACGAGGGTTTGCATGAGAATGGCATTATGAAATAAGCTTCAAAGTGACAAGAGGTTATGGAACAAAACGGTGCCTATTTGGCCTAAATCGTATCATTCTAACTGTTCTAATTGAAACCTTCAATTTAATGCAAAAATAATGGATTTCTTTTAATGGACTTAACAGGTTGGGTTTGAAGGTTGATATTGTTTTTGGTGTTTATATACGGGTCTCAACTAATTTAAATAAATTGATCTATATTTCTTCATCATAAAATGAACTTGTTGTTTAATCATAGAAAACTAGTTTGGTATCGGCAAGCAGAGGCTAAAAAATCACTTGTTAGAAAAAATATTTGCAAATTAACATTTAAAGCACACAAACAAATCAAGATCGCTAAAACAGCACATAGCAAAAGTCATTAGTTTACGATGTTAATAAGAAAAAATAAAAATACGCACTCACTTTACCACAAATATGAAATGTTTCATAAAGAGCGTACGATGCAAGCGCCTCATCACCTTGGCGGCAAAGCACAGAAGGACTTTCACCGCTGCCTCACGACAAGTGTGATGCTTTGCCTCTTATGGCAAACCGCTGGCAGATGCAGAGAAGCGTAGGAGCCTGCTGGTGATAGTTAAATGTTAGCGCTAGACGCTAAATGAAGCCGCATACAAAACACATATATGTGTAGTAGTTACATATTGCATACGAACTCACACACATATATGTAGATGTGGATGCAACAAGGCGGAAGCGCTTCACTGAGCTTGCTCGCGAAGACACAAGCCAAGTCAACGAAGCGTACAGCCATTCATTCATTCGTTCGTTCGCTCGCTCATTCGTGCGCTCCTTCAACAGCAGATGCATATATAGGTCAGCGAGGATACACGCTTATGGGTGCTTAGCGGAATTCTCAAAAGAGCGTGCATTCATGCATATCTAAAAACAAGGAGTCGCACCAGCGAAGAACAAAACCAAACACATACACTCACATACACACATCTCTATCTCTGCTCGGTGTGCCCGCACAAGTGCAGAATATGCCATTTACAAGAAAACGTGCCCAAGAGGCAGCTGCCGCACACATGAACCACTCACACACACACACATACAAAGGTGTATGTGTGTAGGAGCGTAAAAGGTGCATAAAAATGCTCCGGTAAAAGGAAAGAATCATAAAATGCTCATATGCTGAGTTGAGTTGAGTATGTTGAGAAAAATCAAGTGTAGCGTGTTTACACAGTTCATTACGACGAATGTGCCGCAAACGAGCAACAACAATACCAACAGCAACAAGAACAAAGTGCTGTGTTCGTAAGTTGGTGTTAAAGCTCTTAATGGCTGCGGCATCTGTGCTGCCAGATGCCATGCCGAGGAGGCTGAAGTGCACTGTAGTGATTATGACTGAGGAAAAGGAT